CATCAGCCAAAGAAGGCTGAGACAAACTGAAACAAAAAACACACCTGTTCAGCACTTGTACGAAGGTGCTAATCTGAACTTGACTTCACAGCATCGAACAGAGGAGTCTGCACCAGCATCGCCCTTCTCCGACTAGGGTTTTCTTGGTATTACGACCAAGAAAAAGAAATCACAGAAGCTGCCGCCAGAAAAAACTGCTAGGGTTTTCCCAAAAACTGCCGCCAGAAAACTGCTAGGGTTTCCACAGAACTACCACGTCCAAAAACTTTTAAAGAGTGGGCAGGAGGGATCGTAGGTCTATTTCAACCCAGAAAAACTGCTCTGATACCATGTGATGATTCGTGGAGATCGGGGGAGAGAGAGAGAGAGAGAGAAAAGGAAGAGAGAGGTACGGTTGAGAGGAAAAAGTCATCTTCTGGCTGCCGCCAGTTTTCTATATATATTAACTTCATAAAAGAATCAGAAATTACAAGTATGCCCCTGGCGGCACATCCTAGAATCAAAATAATAAGAAAAAGAAAAAACAAGTAACTGAACGACAGCATACTAACAGCAGCTATAAAGTAACAATTAAGTAAGCCTTACAACAGAATACAACCAACCTCCATATACAATGGGCTATAGATCGTACCTTTGATAGGGAGGTGACTTCCCAAGGTGTTTAGGTGGAATAGTAAATGCTAGCCCTTTTTTATCAATAACACTAACAGTTTTATTAAGGAGATAAAGCTTCTCTTACATCAAATCAATGTAGAGATGACAATATAATGACAACAGTAACTGCTGGCTGAAACAAATACAGATCGGAAATATTACAAATTTATCAATCCCTAGCCCTGGTGATCTTCAAGCAAGACTATTCTTGTTAACCCCATCCTTGAAAGCCCACCAACTAATCCATTAGCTACTCTAGGTATCTATCTGAATAAGCCTTTTCAGGATATCAGAATTTTTAACTTCACTGATCTTCTGTCTTAGTATAGCTGATTGCTACTTTAGAGTCCTCTTCCACCACCAAGTTGGGGACACCAAAATAGCAGGCCAAATTAGTTCTTGAATGAGAGCATAGTTTCTGCTCTTAGAGAGTTTCCAACACCTAGAGAACCCAAGAATTTCATTTCATCTTAACATTTCCTTGATTATCTATAATGACACCCTGTGTCTGATGGCTTGGGGGGCCCTACACTACAACTATCAAAGTTCAGTTTGTCAGTTACCGTTTTTATAGTCCACAAGTCAGCTCTCTTGCTCTTTCTACTTGAGGTCCTTGCCACCACATTCTATCCTATCCATACATCATCAAAGAAGAGTCCTTCATACTCTTTACTCCTCAATACCCAATGCACTGTCTTAATGATGTTCTCCAAGAGCACTTCTACTAACTCCTTGCTTTCAAAGTTTCTTCCTTTTCTTTCCCCCCAAATACTCCAAAGGGCTGCTTCTCTAAATCACCTCCAGATAAGTTTAGCTCTTTTTAGCAAATGCTAGTCAATTAAAAGGACTCAGTAATTCTCTATATATTTCACTCTCTATAATTTAGATAAAATTAGATATGTTACTGATTGAGAAAAACAAAACACAGAGCACCAAGATTAGGGAGGAATGTCCTCACCCCTAGGGAGTAATGACAGTACACTGCTTGCACCAATGCAGGAACAAGTGGAAGGATGGTAAACCAGTGTGTTATTAAGAAAAAAAAAAGATGTCTTACAGGTTGAAAATCGTGATAGATTGGAGGCTATCAGTACCCTCTGAAAGGTAGAGTGGTTCTGTCTGTTTGTTAGTGATATTATTATATTTGAGAGGTATAATTGAGCTTGAGAGAATGGTGCAGAGCCTTTTGATTGTCACTCCCTTCAAGAAGAATTGGGTGTGGTATTTAATTGCTTTTGCTGTTAAACAGATAGTTCCTTGCACAAGAGTTACAGAAGGAAAAAAATGTATTCTTTCACAAAGTCCAACCCACCAAGCCCATTTTCAGCCATTCAGCATCAAACACCTCAGTTTCCTACTAGTAAAATCACGCCATGTATAATTTCCTGATCTTCTCAATCAGAAAGAACTAGCACCCAAGTCACTTCTGGGATGATGACAAGCAGGATTCCTCATATTCCTTGTGCACTCCTTAAAACAAGATATCCTCCTTTGCATTTAAGGAATAAATAAATAAAATATCTAACAAAAGCAGTTTCCCCACACATAACATAACTAGTCAGAGTTATTATATAGAGAAGGATATAGAAATTAATAGAAACCATGGTCTCTTAGGATACCTGACAAAAAAACCATGATTATTTCTACTTTGAATTTTATTTCCAATGCTACAAACGAAAAGATATTCATTCATGATCAGACATATATTGTGTTTTAGAGAAGGAAAAATATACCCCACTTTTATAGGCAGGAACATACAGACAATTAAGATGTTTTGAACATATCAGACTCACCTAACTTATCAGTGACATGATTTGTGTAAACTTGAAATGCATTATCAATGCCTCGGAACAGACTGTTCAACTCTCCAGGCCTCATTGGAACTTTAAGAGCAAAAAATTGATCAACTGTCTGTAAAAAATAAATAGTTGCAACTTAAGTATAAGAATGCTGCTCTAAGTCTTCACAATTCTATTGATAAAAGTAAATGGTAATAAATTTTCCATATAATATGTAACAGTATTGTGAAACGCAGAACCTGCAAAAAAAATGATATAAGTTTTCAGTAGATCTAAATTCCTTGTAGTCTATTGATTTCTAACATGCTACAAATAGAATGAAGTACGGCTTTCTCTATGGATGGTTGAGTCTGTACTAAGTTATCTGAGACTGACGTTTGAGACAACGACACTCATTCCAGATCCTTCATTTTTGATAAGTAAAAATAAAAACTTTATTTAAAAGAAAAAAGAAGTTACAACAGGAGGTGGCAAATCATCACCAAAGTACAAAGACCAAATTTCAGATTAGAGAACATTCTCCACATAACATATCTGATAATCCAGGACCTCTCCTAACCTAAAACCAAAGTCTTCTTTTTCTATCTGACTGAACTCTGGAAGAATAAGCAACTAATCTACCACTGATCTACCCACAGTTCCAACCATCTTGTCCATGCTGCATGCTTTGTCTTCGAAAATCCTTCTGTTCCTCTCCTTCCAAATGTTCCAGCAAATTGCAAATGGGATACAACTCCATAACATGTTCACCTTCTTACTCCCACTCAGCCTGGGCCAAGTAGAGAAAATCTCTGCTGTTGAAGTTGGGTGAAAGCCTGAGACCCCAAACATGATATGAACAAGTGAGTAGCATTTTCTTCCTGACCCTCACACACAGCATCTGCTAGCCATGCTAAAACCTCTGGATTTCAGATGATCATCTGTCAAGACACTGTCCATGGCTACCAGCCAGGCCAGAGCCTCAACTCTTGGAGGCACTGGATTTCCCCAAATGCCCTTAATATGACTTGAGACTGAGATAGATCTGCTGAGAGCCATATAACATGACTTAACTGTGAATTTGCCATTCTTGCACTCCTTCCACCAGAGCTTGTCTCTCTGCTGAAATGCAGGTTTTACACCCTCTAGTTTTTCTAAGAGCAAGATACATTCTTCAACTTCCCTGTCCTGCAGAAGCCTCCTGAATTCCGGGCTCCAAATCATCTGGTCTTCCCTTCTTTCATAACAGTCACTGTTATCAATTTCAGCCTCTATTAATCTGTATAGCCTCGGGCATAACTCTCAAACAAAACCTTCACAACCATTTCCCCAGTGTTGCCCTGTTAAAAATTCTCTCTCCTTATCCCAAGCCCTCCTTTCTCCTTTGGTAAGCATGCCTTATCGCAGCTCACTAAATGAAATTTCTTGCCCCCTCCTCTCCCACCCACACCCTCCGACAGAAATTCCCTTTGGAGCTTCTCAATCCTTTCAGCCACCGTAGATGGAATTTTCAGAAGAGACAGGTAATATGTTGGAAGACTTGATAGAACACTTCTAATTAGTATCACTCCCCCCCCAGAAAGATATTTGGCTTTCCACCCATCTAGCCTTCTATCAATTCTCTCCAAAAGTGGTTTCCACAAATTCACTGACTTCATTGCACCACTAATCGGCACTCCCAAATATGTGAAAGGGAGCTCACAAGTTCTGCATTCCAAGGTTAATCTTCAGACCTGTTAACATCTCGAAGTTTGCCAACATAGACCTCAGATTCATCAGTTGTTCCACCTTTGCACCCAAAAAAAAAATTAGAGTATCATCTGCAAACTGCAGATGAGTAATGCAAGGTCCATCTCTTCCAACCTTAAAACCCTCAATTAAGCCCACTTGACCACTTCTCTCTAGAAGTAAGCTCAATGTCTCCATCAACATAACAAACAGCAAAGGAGACACAGGATCTCCTTGCCTCAAGCCCCTAGAAGCCTGAAAGAACTCTGAAGAGATTCCATTCAGCAATATTGAAAAGGAAACAGTAGACACACATGCAAGCATCCAAGCCCTCCACTTCTCCCCAAACCCCATCAAGCTTTGTATTTCTTCTAAGAAACCCCATTCCACATGATCATGAGCCTTCTCAAAATCAATCTTGCAAATCAGACCTGGTCTACCAATCCTCAGACGGGAGCCAAGCCAATGCATTCACTAGCCACAAGGACCCCATCCATCATCTGCCTCCCCTTTACAAAAGCCATTTGAGCTTCACCAACCACCTCATGAAGCACACATCTCAATCTCTTGGAAAGAACCTTAACAGCTTGTACGGGCTGATGATCAAGCTTATAGGCCTAAATTCCTTCAACTTCACTGCTCCTTCCTTCTTAGGAATTAGAGAAATGAAGATAGCATTCACCATCTTCTCTCTATGAAACTCCTTGAACATTTGCCCAAAATCTTTCTCAAGTCACTCCCAAACAGCCTTGATGAAAGTAAAATTAAATCCATCTGGACCTGGTGCTTTGTCCCCAACGATGCCTTTTAGAGCTTCTTTGATTTCCTCTAAACCACTCTCTCTCAATCCAGATTGCTGAATTTTCATACAAATTTGTTGGTGTTAAATCTCCAAGTTTTATCCCTCTCCTTATTCTCCTGAATTTCCAACCAAGTTATCATTTCCCCTTCCACCTGAATTCTTGAGAAGAGATTTCCCCTCCTTGCATTGGCATAAGCATGAAAGAAGGCTATGTTTTTATCCCCTGCTTTTACCAAAATCATTCTGGACTTTTGTTTCCAGATCTCACAGGAAAGGTGTTAGATTGTGCACCACTAAACATCCCATTTCCAACTTTGTTTCCTATGAGAACATTTCACCCTCATTTCGTGCTTTCCTTACCTCTATTGGCAGTGTCCCTATCCCCAAGAATGTGGCAGAAGCTCTTTCAGTACCTAAATGGACAAATGCCATGAAGGAAGAAATTAATGCCCTTCATAAAAGTGGCACATGGGAACTTGTTGATCTTCCTAAAGGAAAGGTTCCAGTTGGATGTAAATGGGTGTTCACTGTCAAGCATAGGGCTGATGGAATGGTGGAGAGGTATAAAGCTCGCTTAGTGGCAAAGGGGTTTACTCAAGTGTACGGAGTTGATTATGCAGAAACTTTTGCCCCTGTTGCCAAGATGAACTCCATTAGATTTCTTTTCTCTCCTGCTGCTAATCTGGATTGGGACCTGGTTGTAGATGGTTTATTCCCCTCTATTTCCTTTCTCAAAATTAAAAACAAAAGAGAGAGAAAGAAGGATACGTAGCAGAAGACATAAATAGGAAGCATTCACAGAGAGGACTTTCCTTTTTTCTACCTGTATTAGTGAGCCTTTTCCTTCCTTGCCTTCCCTTGAGCACTTCTCTTTTCTTCTCTCCTTATCTTTGCTTTTCTTAAGAATCTCTTGTGAAAATTTCTCTGAAGAGTCTCTCTGTGTGTCCTTCTAGCTTCCCCTTAAGGAGCTTAAAAAGGGAATGGAGTGGTTATGTAAGTACCCCCTCCTCCTAGGTGAAGGACACCTGTCCCTCCCACTTAAAGAGAGGGAACTCCCCACTTAAAGGGAGAGAACTCCCCACTTAAGATGGGGAACTCCCATACGGGATACTTTTTTATAATTTTAATGATTTGGCTAGCAAACTAGCCAACCCACATTCTAATTTATTTAAATATTATTTGGATTAAAAAAATGCCTTCAACAATAGTGTATGTTGATGACATAGTGATCACAAGTGACTAGAAAGTTGAAATTTAGAGGCTAAAGGATCTCTTAGCCACTCAATTTGAGGTGAAGGATTTAGGTCCCCTACAGTATTTCCTTGGAATTGAAGTGGCCCACTCACAAAAGGGGATATTCCTTTCTTAAAGGAAATACATCCTACATCTATTACAGGATTGAGAAAAACTAGGGGTTAAGCCAACTGACTCTCCCATTGATCCAAATCACAGACTGGGTGATTGTTGTGGTGAAGTTATCAAGGATGTAAAGCAATTCCAGAGACTTGTGGGAAGGCTCAGGTATTTGTCCATGACCCGGCCAGACATTGCTTATGATGTAGGTGTTCTTAATCAATTCATGCATGCTCCTACGACCATACACTTAGAGGAAGCTGAGAGAATCCCCAGATATCTAAAGGAGTTTCCAAGAGCTGGTTTGCTATTCCAGAAGAATGGGCATTTGAAGATTGAAGCGTATATAGATGCCGACTGGGCTGCATCAATGATGACAGAAAGTCCACTTGTGGATATTGTTCTTTTGTGGAGGAAACCTAGTTGCATGGAGAAGCAAGAAACAAAGTGTGGTGGCTAGGTCTAGTGCTGAAGCTGAATATAAAGAAATGTCCCATGGAGTGGTTGAAGCCATGTGGATAAAGAATTTGTTGAGAGAACTGGGTTTTCCAGTTGATAGCCCGATGTCCTTGTATTGTGATAACAAGGCTGCCATCAACATTGCAACCAACCCAGTTCTTCATGATAGAACTAAACATATTGAGGTTGACAAACACTTTATCAGAGAGAAAATTGTTAATGGTGAAATATGCACTCCATATGTTAGTTCTAAGGAGCAACTTGCAGATATATTTACAAAAGGCTTACATCACTTGTGCCACGATGACTTATATGACAAGTTAGGCATGATTGATATCTATGTCCCAACTTGAGGGGGAGTGTTGAATAAGCTAGTCTTACTTTAGTTTAGAGCCACAAGGGCACATATGTAATTTTACATTGTTTTATTATTTGAATGGTCGCCCTAATATAAATATCAAAAAGGTTGGCGCCACCAGCTGATGTTTTTCTCTCCAAAACCTTTTTTCTCTTTTCTCTCTTTTCCCTTCTCTCTTCTCTCACTATTCTGAAATCCTGTTGTGTGTTTACCAAGAAAACACTGCCATAGGAACAAAGAGGAGTGAGAGGAGAAGAGAAACAACACAAAAAGTTCCGGAGAATAGATCGATAGTGCCATAGATTAGTTGTAAAGGGAATCAAAGATATGAAGATTCAAAAATCAGGATGGTAAAATGAAAATGGTATTAAATAGTCCTTTTGTCTATATGGGATGCATGAATGACATGATTTTCAATGAGTAAAACCATAGAAGCATTGATTAACTTAATTATGGAAAGAGTGACTTACTGGGTTAGAACAAGGAAATGAAGGAATTGATCAAGGATTATGCAATACCACCAACAACACATAGAGGATTTGGATTAATAAGCTTGCCTCATCAACTAGGAAGTGTATCCATCCCACAGACCAGTTTCTCTGTAAACCATCATAAAACTCAACTTTGATATTTGTTGTTCAGGAATCAAAGTGCCCAAGGGATAGGAATATTCAGAAATCATGATGGTGAAGTGCTAATGGAATAGCCTCGGCAAATGGGAGGTAATTCAATCCTAGTTCGTCTTCTAAAACTTGTTAGAGGATGGATTTATTGTCATTCAGAGAGGTAATTTCTATCCCTCATATTGAACACCATATTCAGGTGGGTTAGAATGCATTAGCTGATCCACTGACCAATGGGATAAGCAAAGACTTTTTGTATGGGCATCTGTCAGGCTCAACATTGGGATTGAATATGGTCAGTTCTGATGTAACCTCTACAAAGTAGGACAGTTGCTTCCTGCTGTAGTTTTATTGATTTTTAGTAAAACTGCTTTGATCTGTTACCAATCCCAAAAAATGGCTATTCATATGAATATGAATATCAAGGATATTGAAAAAAGAATAAAGGGAGAAAATAAATAATTCTACTTTAAAGGAAAACTACGTGGAATTTACAATGCAAGAAAAAACAGTAGCAATAGAAATTGTGGTAGTATTAACACGAATAATAAAAATAACAACAACAGTTCACGTAATTATAATAGATACAACAGTAAAGGAAGAGAATGCACACCTCTTCCACAATCCTGTAGACTTCAACAATTGAACTCCCATGCCGTTGTTGAGGTGATACAGGATCCCATCTCTATAAAAGGATTTACAAAAATATTAGACTAAAATATCACTGCAGGAATTGATATTTATTTATTATTTTTTTCAGGGAGAGATGCAAGGCGCCTGAACAATTATTGCTTACTAGAAATGTTTAGTGCTAGGAAGATTTGTATGATGAAAAAGCACTAACACAAAGAATCCAAGACAAAGAGATACTGGATAAGATGGTTGCATGATTAAATGCTTTTTTCTTGTATCATTGTAGTTTATTTCAAAAAGAGCTAAAGTTCTTGTCCCCTCTACTTTTTTAACAATAACCAGAAATTTTATCAATTACAATAATAGCATATAGATGGATAAGTACTCTTATCTCTCATCTTTTTCGCTTTCTTACAACAGTGCCCAAAAACAATCAATTTCTTCCCACCCCTTGCATGGCTAGTGTCATCCATGCTATTTGCTTTCCTTTTTACCCATTGAGGTTTCACATCCATTCTTCTAGTCAGCCATTTAAACTTCTTTAAATCATTTGAATAAGTATAGAGCAGTCTCAACATCCTGCAACTACCTAATCACCACCCTTAAATCTACTTTAATAATTAACGTGGTGATATTCATCTTCTTTTCCCTTCGTACTCCTTCCATAACCGCCATAATCATCACCCATAAGGAGTCCTTGATGGGCCTGGAGCCCCGGATTCCCAATACTGCTACCAACAAATTTAAGCTTTAACAAAACCTCTTCAGATGGTATTCGAACTTTTCTTATTGGTGTCTTCTTGTAGAAGTCCTTGCAACTTCCCTTTCTCCTCTACAATCCTTTCTTCTCCCTCAAAGTTTTCTGTCTTTTTCTACACTTAATCTAAAATTAACAGCAGGTCATTATCAGATATCAACATACCAACCTAAAGCTCCTTTAAATCAAATGGCTTCCCCATTCTTTTTGCATTTTATACAAGTTATCAAAAAATTGAAACAAATTGTTAGAGTGAGCCGAATAGGAGTAGTTTAGTAATCTCATGTCAGTTAAGTACTTTGCTTATGTGGCTGTTTTATTAGAGTACTCTGCCCYACACTTAAGTGAGGGCAGTTTAGTCTTTGTAAGTGTAATTAGAACCTAATAAACATAAGGGGGTCGACTGAATGTGAGACTAATCAGTTTCGACTAAACCCTCCTGTTCTCTCTTTCTCTTGTCTTCTTCCTCATCTTCTTCTTCCTTCTTCACTGGTTCGGATTACTGTAGCTGCTCCAAAACACAAATATTTCTTTTATCCTTTCCTCTGTGTGCAAAATTCGCTGATCTATAAGTATGAAATGACTGCAGAATGCTGTTCCATAACCACATAAAGTAAACAACCAGAAGAGGCTAGAAATAAATCTGTCATGATTCCAGATCAAATAAAGTCAATCTTCAAAACATGGAATAGTAAATAACCTTAAAAATTTACCTCTTGTTGAATGGCTCGTTCAACCCATCCTAATAATCTTCCAAGTTGTGAATTTACCCAACGTAGAACCAATGTTCCAGAAATAGTTTCAATCTAAAAGGAAAAAAATAACATGTCAGAAAGCATAAGAAAATGATTTGACAAAGGGAACAAAAAAAATAGTAAAAGATATAAGCTAGTAAACAATGTTAACAGAGGACTGAAAAAAGCTATAGACATTCTGAAGCTCCTTGTGATGGGTCTATATTTGATGTTTCAGCCTGATGGGAGTATGGGACAGTGGAGAGGCTTAAAGCCCACTTAGTAGCCAAAGGTTTTATCCAGACCTATGACATTGATTTTTTTATTGCTAAAAGGAAAAACAGTACATCATAATTAGGTGACAAGATGTCACCCCCACCAGATTACAGTAATGTAAGGCCACAAAAAGCAAAAAAAAAAACACTATTTCAGTATCAAAATAGATCTCAGCATTCCTATTAAGAATTCAGAGAAGTCCAAAAATCAGCTCCAAAGTCTTTTTTTCTGCAATCCTTGAAACTCTGGAAGCAAAAGCACCCGACCAATAACTGTCGAACTAATAACAGCTACCAACTCTTCCATACTTTTCTCTTTCTCCTCAAAGATCCTTCTATTTCTTTCCTTCCATATTTCCCAGCAAACAGCAAAGGGAATACATGTCCAAAGGATCTTAACTTTAACTCCACCTTGGATTCTTGGCCAACAGCTGAAATTTTCAGCCACATCAGCCAAAGGGCTCCTGTCCACCTTGAATAACTTGAAGAAATAAGACCAAACTAGATATGAAAAACTGTAATGAAGCAAAATGTGAGACACATCTTCCTCACCAGCACAACACAGCACACATCTACTTGGAAACTACAGACCTCTAAGTTTCAAGTTATCCTATGTTATAATGCAACCTCTCACAACCAACCAAGCAAATGATTCAGCCCTTGGTGGTACAGGCTTACCCCAAACACCCCTAACTGGATCAGCCTCCACCCGATTTCTGATCAGTGCCGAGTACAATGACTTGACAGTAAACTTTCCATCTTTACACTCTTTCCATAATCTGACATCTGTAACTGAGGGATTGATCTCCAACGCCTGAAGTTTTGCCAGCAACTCCAAGCACTCCACCACCTCCCAATCAAAAAGGGGTCTTCTGAGATTTGGCCTCCAAACTACAGGCACAGCACCATTTACTACTCCATAGCAATCTGAAATTGGCACTCCTTTCTTACTCAGATTACATAACCTTGGGCATAATTCAGAAAATTTCCCCACCCCCGACAAGTCATCTTCCCAAAACCTTATACTCGACCCACATCCCACTTTCCATGTATAGAAAGGAATCATCAAGGAGTTAAAACTCATGATACCTATCCATACACTAACTCCATACGTGTGTCTCACCTCCTTTGAATCCCATCAAAAGTTCATCACCCCATGCTTACAAGCCACCACTCTCCTCCAAAGGGCCTCCCTTTCTTTTCCGAACCTCCAAACCCACTTCCCCAATAAAGCTTTGTTGAAGATTCCAACCCTTTTCACACCTAAACCCCCATCTTTTTTGGATCAGAACACCAGCTCCCACTTAACCAAGTGTAACTTCTTTCTCTCAGCCCTAGCGTTCCACAGAAATTCTCTCTCTAACCTTTCAATCTCTCCCACCACAGCAGCAGGAGATTTAAGTAAAGATAAATAGTAAACCTTCTCCTCTGTTGCTAAGATTGCATCAGTGAGGGTGATCATCTCATTGGCTTCAGTTCACCATTGGCCATTGTACCAACTTGATGTCAAAAATTCATTTCTTTATGGTGATCTTATTGAAGAAATTTATATGGAACAAGCACTTGGGTTTGTTGCTCAGGGGGAGTGTAAGGGAATGATCTGTAAGTTTGAAAGGGTGTTGTATAAACCTTAAACAATCACCTCAAGCTTGGTTTGATAAGTTCAATGATGCAATTGTTGAGTTTGGTTTATATAGATGTTAGTCGGACTAAATATAGTAAAATTTCAGATGCAGCAGTATTATTCTTGTGGTCTATGTGGATGATATTGTGATAACAAGGAGCGACGCACAAGGTATCAGCAAGTTAAAGATGTTTTTGCAAGGGAGAATTTACACTAATGATCTAGGTAAACTGCGGTATTTTCTTGGTGTTAGAGTTAGCTGAATGAGGGGTAGATTAGTCTTTTCCAGCCACTTTAAGTTATGTGCTTAGGTGGCAGTTCTAATAAGACTTCTTGTCCCATAATTAAGTGGGGGCAGTTTAGTCTTTGTACTTAATTAAACCCCTAATCCATATTATGGTCGAATGGTAGGGTTTAGCCTACCAAGTTCGAACTGCTGTAGCTACTGAACAAACATGGTATCAGAGCAAGATGTTGCTCTCTAAATCTCCTCCCTTGCTCCTCTCTGGTCGTGACTTCATTTTTTCTCTTCTTTCTGGGCTGAAAATGGAGAACACAGATTCGACCTAGGTCTGATAACACTTCAGTCCTTCTTCCTTTGCTCAGAACATGAATGTTTTTCAAGAAAAACAACTTCAGAAGTAAGTGGATGGTCGACTGAAATTCTCCATCAGAGGTTGGTTACCTTTTTTTTTGTGCTGTTGGTATTTCTGGGTTGAAAGCCTTCAAAATCTGCTCGGACTGATCAGAACCTAGAGAACTAGGTTGTTTGTAGCCTTGGTTCTTGGAACAAAGTCCAAGAACAGGCTGTGTTTATAGTGGCCGAATGGTGTAAGGGTACGTTTGACCCTTTTGTGTGGGTCTGTAGGTTGTTTTGAAGCCTTTGTTGGTCACAAGTTACCTGAATTGAATGACAAGTTACTGCAGTGGTAGTAGTTGATGTTTTCTTTGGACTTGTAGTGCCCTCTGAAAAGGTCAGACAGATCTGTACCATGTATGACAGCAATGGTTGTGTGGTGGTGCTTGTGATGCTCAACCTCTATTGAGCAGCTTCAAGAGGGCTTGTATGTGGTTAGTGAGTTGCTGAATTAATGTTAGTGTGATTTATGGTTTTGTGAAATCAGAAGTGGGGTGAACAAAAAACAAAAGTTTGTGTACCTCTCAACTGTGTTTGGGGACTGTTGTAGTGTCTGAGACAACTGTGTTTTTGGGACTGATTGATTGTGACTGGTTGTGAGCCTATAATCTGTGTTTGGGGACTGCTGTAGTGTCTGGAACATCAAACTCCTGACAGCAGTACATAGTTGGCGACTGGGAATTCAGATTATAAGTAACATTGGGAGGGCATCATGGCAGCAACTGGAGATGGTTGTAGTGATCAGAAACCTGGTGTGGTGATTCCCTCTGACTATCTAGGTGTGCAGATGACTTCAATTAAACTTAATGGTGAGAACTATGTACCATGGGCCAAGTCAGTGGAAGTTTTTCTTAAGGCAAAGCGGAAAGTGAAGCATGTGAAGGAAGATAAACCATCAGCTGACTCTTCAGGGTTTGATGACTGGAAATAGGAAGATGCCCAAATCATGACATAGTTATGGAATAGTATGGAACCTAAAATTAGTGCCAACTTTATATTCTCAGATACAGCTAAGGACATATGGGAACATGCCAAGAAACTTTATTCTGGGCAGGATAACACTATGAGGGTATATCAGCTCTATCAGGAGTATTTTGATCTGCAACAAGGGAGTAAAACCCTAAAAGAGTACTATGCCAGCATGAAAAACATCAGAAATGAACTAAATGTCTATCATCCCCTAACTCCGGGTGTTAAGGTTCAGCAACAACAAAGGGAGGAACTGGATGTCACTAGGTTCTTAATGGGGCTGAAATCGGAGTACGAACCAGTTAGAGCCCAAATTTTGGGAAGCTCTACTCATCCTACCCTAGAGGAAGTATTTGCAAGGCTCCGCAGGATCTCCTTGGGTTCTACAGAGAGTATCACACCATCTAATAGATCGGGATTTGTGGTAGCCAAAGGAGGTGGACGTGGTAAAAGAGGGGGAGGACATGGATCTCGAGGAGGTCGTGGTGGTTCCATATTTGGCCGTGGTGGTGGTCAAGACTCAGGGGGAGGCCATGGTAAAGGAAAAGGTACCTCTACTAGGAAGTGTACCCACTGTGGCAGGGAAGGACATTCAGTGAATTTTTGTTATGATCTCCATGGCCCACCTTCTACATGGGCAAATCAGGCAGTTGTTGGTGGGTTTAATGGTAGTGATAACCAACAGCCAGATCTCACATCTTCCACATCTACATCTGTTGCTGGGAAGGAGATGATGAGTGTACCATGCGACGAGTATGAGAGGTTCCTTCAGGCTACTTCACAACATACAACTGCCACCCTTGCTCACTTAGGTATTGCTTGTCTGGCATCCAAACCCTCTTCCTGGATTATTGACTCTGGATCCTCTGATCACATGACCGGGACTCCAGGTGTGTTCTCTTCCCTCTCTAAAACTTCCACATCTCAAACTGTTACCCTTGCCAACGGTTCCTCTTCTCCCATCTGTGGTGTTGGTAATGTTGACACGGCTTCTCTTTCTTTATCATTTGTTCTATATGTACCTAAATTTCCATTCAATCTTATGTCAGTCAGTAAATTAACTAAGACCCTTAATTGCTCTATTACATTTTTCCCTTCCTTTTGTGTTTTTTAGGATCTCAAGACGGGGAAGAAGATTGGTGGGAGGGCATGAAGCCGGTGGATTGTATTACCTTGACGGTGGTGGATCGTCAATTGCACTTCAAACTTCACTCACTCCTCTACAATGGCATTGTCGACCAGGACATCCATCTCTCAAGGAACTCAAGATATTAATTCCGTCTTTGAGTCATTTGTCGTCTTTACAGTGTGAATCATGTCAGTATGGGAAACACCATCGAGTTCCCTTCATTCCTAGAGTTGATAGTCGTATGTTGAGTCATTTTGCTTTAGTTCATTCAGATGTTTAGGGTCCGATTAAAATAGAGTCTTATAATGGTTACAAGTATATTGTCAGTTTCATTGATGATTGTTCAAGGATGACATGGATTTATTTAATGAAGGAAAGGAGTGAATTATTTTCCATTTTTTAAAAATTCCATGTTGAAATACGTACACAATTTGGTGTTCCAATCAAAGTTCTTCGTTCAGATAACGATCGTGAATACTTTCTTACTTCCTTTCAACAGTATTTAGAACAACATGGCATCATTCATCAAACTTCATGTGCATCCACTCCTCAACAAAATGGGGTGGCTGAACGAAAGAACCGTCATCTCCTTGAAATTGCTCGGTCTATTCTTCATCATATGAGTGTTCCTAAACGATTTTNATGACATATATTCTCCAGCTTGAGGGGGAGTGTTAGAGTGAGCCGAATAGGGGTAGTTTAGTAATCTCATGTCAGTTAAGTACTTTGCTTATTTGGCTGTTTTATTAGAGTACTCTGCCCCACACTTAAGTGAGGACAGTTTAGTCTTTGTAAGTGTAATTAGAACCTAATAAACATWAGGGGGTCGACTGAATGTGAGACTAATCAGTTTCGACTAAACCCTCCTGTTCTCTCTTTCTCTTGTCTTCTTCCTCATCTTCTTCTTCCTTCTTCACTGGTTCGGATTACTGTAGCTGCTCCAAAACACAAATATTTCTTTTATCCTTTCCTCTGTGTGCAAAATTCGCTGATCTATAAGTATGAAATGACTGCAGAATGCTGTTCCATAACCACATAAAGTAAACAACCAGAAGAGGCTAGAAATAAATCTGTCATGATTCCAGATCAAATAAAGTCAATCTTCAAAACATGGAATAGTAAATAACCTTAAAAATTTACCTCTTGTTGAATGGCTCGTTCAACCCATCCTAATAATCTTCCAAGTTGTGAATTTACCCAACGTAGAACCAATGTTCCAGAAATAGTTTCAATCTAAAAGGAAAAAAATAACATGTCAGAAAGCATAAGAAAATGATTTGACAAAGGGAACAAAAAAAATAGTAAAAGATATAAGCTAGTAAACAATGTTAACAGAGGACTGAAAAAAGCTATAGACATTCTGAAGCTCCTTGTGATGGGTCTATATTTGATGTTTCAGCCTGATGGGAGTATGGGACAGTGGAGAGGCTTAAAGCCCACTTAGTAGCCAAAGGTTTTATCCAGACCTATGACATTGATTTTTTTATTGCTAAAAGGAAAAACAGTACATCATAATTAGGTGACAAGATGTCACCCCCACCAGATTACAGTAATGTAAGGCCACAAAAAGCAAAAAAAAAAACACTATTTCAGTATCAAAATAGATCTCAGCATTCCTATTAAGAATTCAGAGAAGTCCAAAAATCAGCTCCAAAGTCTTTTTTTCTGCAATCCTTGAAACTCTGGAAGCAAAAGCACCCGACCAATAACTGTCGAACTAATAACAGCTACCAACTCTTCCATACTTTTCTCTTTCTCCTCAAAGATCCTTCTATTTCTTTCCTTCCATATTTCCCAGCAAACAGCAAAGGGAATACATGTCCAAAGGATCTTAACTTTAACTCCACCTTGGATTCTTGGCCAACAGCTGAAATTTTCAGCCACATCAGCCAAAGGGCTCCTGTCCACCTTGAATAACTTGAAGAAATAAGACCAAACTAGATATGAAAAACTGTAATGAAGCAAAATGTGAGACACATCTTCCTCACCAGCACAACACAGCACACATCTACTTGGAAACTACAGACCTCTAAGTTTCAAGTTATCCTATGTTATAATGCAACCTCTCACAACCAACCAAGCAAATGATTCAGCCCTTGGTGGTACAGGCTTACCCCAAACACCCCTAACTGGATCAGCCTCCACCCGATTTCTGATCAGTGCCGAGTACAATGACTTGACAGTAAACTTTCCATCTTTACACTCTTTCCATAATCTGACATCTGTAACTGAGGGATTGATCTCCAACGCCTGAAGTTTTGCCAGCAACTCCAAGCACTCCACCACCTCCCAATCAAAAAGGGGTCTTCTGAGATTTGGCCTCCAAACTACAGGCACAGCACCATTTACTACTCCATAGCAATCTGAAATTGGCACTCCTTTCTTACTCAGATTACATAACCTTGGGCATAATTCAGAAAATTTCCCCACCCCCGACAAGTCATCTTCCCAAAACCTTATACTCGACCCACATCCCACTTTCCATGTATAGAAAGGAATCATCAAGGAGTTAAAACTCATGATACCTATCCATACACTAACTCCATACGTGTGTCTCACCTCCTTTGAATCCCATCAAAAGTTCATCACCCCATGCTTACAAGCCACCACTCTCCTCCAAAGGGCCTCCCTTTCTTTTCCGAACCTCCAAACCCACTTCCCCAATAAAGCTTTGTTGAAGATTCCAACCCTTTTCACACCTAAACCCCCATCTTTTTTGGATCAGAACACCAGCTCCCACTTAACCAAGTGTAACTTCTTTCTCTCAGCCCTAGCGTTCCACAGAAATTCTCTCTCTAACCTTTCAATCTCTCCCACCACAGCAGCAGGAGATTTAAGTAAAGATAAATAGTAAACCTTCTCCTCTGTTGCTAAGATTGCATCAGTGAGGGTGATCATCTCATTGGCTTCAGTTCACCATTGGCCATTGTACCAACTTGATGTCAAAAATTCATTTCTTTATGGTGATCTTATTGAAGAAATTTATATGGAACAAGCACTTGGGTTTGTTGCTCAGGGGGAGTGTAAGGGAATGATCTGTAAGTTTGAAAGGGTGTTGTATAAACCTTAAACAATCACCTCAAGCTTGGTTTGATAAGTTCAATGATGCAATTGTTGAGTTTGGTTTATATAGATGTTAGTCGGACTAAATATAGTAAAATTTCAGATGCAGCAGTATTATTCTTGTGGTCTATGTGGATGATATTGTGATAACAAGGAGCGACGCACAAGGTATCAGCAAGTTAAAGATGTTTTTGCAAGGGAGAATTTACACTAATGATCTAGGTAAACTGCGGTATTTTCTTGGTGTTAGAGTTAGCTGAATGAGGGGTAGATTAGTCTTTTCCAGCCACTTTAAGTTATGTGCTTAGGTGGCAGTTCTAATAAGACTTCTTGTCCCATAATTAAGTGGGGGCAGTTTAGTCTTTGTACTTAATTAAACCCCTAATCCATATTATGGTCGAATGGTAGGGTTTAGCCTACCAAGTTCGAACTGCTGTAGCTACTGAACAAACATGGTATCAGAGCAAGATGTTGCTCTCTAAATCTCCTCCCTTGCTCCTCTCTGGTCGTGACTTCATTTTTTCTCTTCTTTCTGGGCTGAAAATGGAGAACACAGATTCGACCTAGGTCTGATAACACTTCAGTCCTTCTTCCTTTGCTCAGAACATGAATGTTTTTCAAGAAAAACAACTTCAGAAGTAAGTGGATGGTCGACTGAAATTCTCCATCAGAGGTTGGTTACCTTTTTTTTTGTGCTGTTGGTATTTCTGGGTTGAAAGCCTTCAAAATCTGCTCGGACTGATCAGAACCTAGAGAACTAGGTTGTTTGTAGCCTTGGTTCTTGGAACAAAGTCCAAGAACAGGCTGTGTTTATAGTGGCCGAATGGTGTAAGGGTACGTTTGACCCTTTTGTGTGGGTCTGTAGGTTGTTTTGAAGCCTTTGTTGGTCACAAGTTACCTGAATTGAATGACAAGTTACTGCAGTGGTAGTAGTTGATGTTTTCTTTGGACTTGTAGTGCCCTCTGAAAAGGTCAGACAGATCTGTACCATGTATGACAGCAATGGTTGTGTGGTGGTGCTTGTGATGCTCAACCTCTATTGAGCAGCTTCAAGAGGGCTTGTATGTGGTTAGTGAGTTGCTGAATTAATGTTAGTGTGATTTATGGTTTTGTGAAATCAGAAGTGGGGTGAACAAAAAACAAAAGTTTGTGTACCTCTCAACTGTGTTTGGGGACTGTTGTAGTGTCTGAGACAACTGTGTTTTTGGGACTGATTGATTGTGACTGGTTGTGAGCCTATAATCTGTGTTTGGGGACTGCTGTAGTGTCTGGAACATCAAACTCCTGACAGCAGTACATAGTTGGCGACTGGGAATTCAGATTATAAGTAACATTGGGAGGGCATCATGGCAGCAACTGGAGATGGTTGTAGTGATCAGAAACCTGGTGTGGTGATTCCCTCTGACTATCTAGGTGTGCAGATGACTTCAATTAAACTTAATGGTGAGAACTATGTACCATGGGCCAAGTCAGTGGAAGTTTTTCTTAAGGCAAAGCGGAAAGTGAAGCATGTGAAGGAAGATAAACCATCAGCTGACTCTTCAGGGTTTGATGACTGGAAATAGGAAGATGCCCAAATCATGACATAGTTATGGAATAGTATGGAACCTAAAATTAGTGCCAACTTTATATTCTCAGATACAGCTAAGGACATATGGGAACATGCCAAGAAACTTTATTCTGGGCAGGATAACACTATGAGGGTATATCAGCTCTATCAGGAGTATTTTGATCTGCAACAAGGGAGTAAAACCCTAAAAGAGTACTATGCCAGCATGAAAAACATCAGAAATGAACTAAATGTCTATCATCCCCTAACTCCGGGTGTTAAGGTTCAGCAACAACAAAGGGAGGAACTGGATGTCACTAGGTTCTTAATGGGGCTGAAATCGGAGTACGAACCAGTTAGAGCCCAAATTTTGGGAAGCTCTACTCATCCTACCCTAGAGGAAGTATTTGCAAGGCTCCGCAGGATCTCCTTGGGTTCTACAGAGAGTATCACACCATCTAATAGATCGGGATTTGTGGTAGCCAAAGGAGGTGGACGTGGTAAAAGAGGGGGAGGACATGGATCTCGAGGAGGTCGTGGTGGTTCCATATTTGGCCGTGGTGGTGGTCAAGACTCAGGGGGAGGCCATGGTAAAGGAAAAGGTACCTCTACTAGGAAGTGTACCCACTGTGGCAGGGAAGGACATTCAGTGAATTTTTGTTATGATCTCCATGGCCCACCTTCTACATGGGCAAATCAGGCAGTTGTTGGTGGGTTTAATGGTAGTGATAACCAACAGCCAGATCTCACATCTTCCACATCTACATCTGTTGCTGGGAAGGAGATGATGAGTGTACCATGCGACGAGTATGAGAGGTTCCTTCAGGCTACTTCACAACATACAACTGCCACCCTTGCTCACTTAGGTATTGCTTGTCTGGCATCCAAACCCTCTTCCTGGATTATTGACTCTGGATCCTCTGATCACATGACCGGGACTCCAGGTGTGTTCTCTTCCCTCTCTAAAACTTCCACATCTCAAACTGTTACCCTTGCCAACGGTTCCTCTTCTCCCATCTGTGGTGTTGGTAATGTTGACACGGCTTCTCTTTCTTTATCATTTGTTCTATATGTACCTAAATTTCCATTCAATCTTATGTCAGTCAGTAAATTAACTAAGACCCTTAATTGCTCTATTACATTTTTCCCTTCCTTTTGTGTTTTTTAGGATCTCAAGACGGGGAAGAAGATTGGTGGGAGGGCATGAAGCCGGTGGATTGTATTACCTTGACGGTGGTGGATCGTCAATTGCACTTCAAACTTCACTCACTCCTCTACAATGGCATTGTCGACCAGGACATCCATCTCTCAAGGAACTCAAGATATTAATTCCGTCTTTGAGTCATTTGTCGTCTTTACAGTGTGAATCATGTCAGTATGGGAAACACCATCGAGTTCCCTTCATTCCTAGAGTTGATAGTCGTATGTTGAGTCATTTTGCTTTAGTTCATTCAGATGTTTAGGGTCCGATTAAAATAGAGTCTTATAATGGTTACAAGTATATTGTCAGTTTCATTGATGATTGTTCAAGGATGACATGGATTTATTTAATGAAGGAAAGGAGTGAATTATTTTCCATTTTTTAAAAATTCCATGTTGAAATACGTACACAATTTGGTGT